AATATCATCCGCAATTTTTGCTTAATTGCAGATGTTTACTCTTCTGTCGTGGCCTCTGAGAGAGTGATTTTCTGCGCTGGCTCGCGCCTCGGAGCTTTAGCAAGAATCCTTGGGGTTCACAAATTTCGTGGCCGCAAAACACGGTCAGCTGGTGGGACATGTGCAGGTCCACGAATGGTACCCTCGTTAGTATGTTGAGGCGTTTTCTGCCTGTACTGTCACACGTCTGACCTACAACCCTGGACGTCGTAATCTCTAATGTGCGTCCTGCTAACATGTAAATTCTATGGTTACATGCTAAAATCGGGTAGCTGAACCATCAATCGAACTGTAAATGAACTCTTAGGACACGCCCTGATTTTGAGTTGGAGAAATTGTTGGAGTTTGTAGATGGGGAGGAGTTAAGTGCGGTGAAAGGGAGGGAGTTGGTTGGAACTTGGAGAAGGGTTGCAGTTGCTAGTTGGGGAGGATTTCAGTGCAGTGAAAGGGAGGGCGTCGGTTGGAACTTGGAAGCCCCCTGAAAAACGCGACTCTCATTTGAGAGTCGCGTTTTCAGAAACCCTAGCTAGCCTAGCCCGTATTTAGGAGGCCCACTAGTAGGTGGTGGGTAATAATACCCACTTTTCAGGGTAACCGGGTCGGGTATACCCGAACCCGCCAGGCGGGTATTGTATTACCCACCCCCTAAGGCCGGGTCCGGGTAAGGGTCCTGGACATATTACCCGACCCTGACCCGACCCGAAAATACCCGACTTGAGGTTGGGTACTGCACAACCGGGTCGGGTCGGGTAATTACCCAGTTTTGCTCAACCCTACATGCAGTCATGGACACTGGCAAGTGGATGATTGCAGAATGCGCATGTATGCCTGCACTGCACACCCTTGCTCACGCGCATACAGGCACGCACTGTGTTATGAGTTTGTAGGTGGTGGAACACAAACTTACCCAGCTACCATTCAAGCATCACACCATTCTTCCCACAGAAAAATCATTAGGATCTTTGGAAGGGGAACTTACGCAATCATACCACCTGTTAGGGATGAGCATGTACCCGACCCGACCCGGCCCGACCCGACTTTGCCCTATCCGATGTCGGGTTCGGGTCGGGTCGGGTCGGGTTCTAAGTGGGCAAAATCGGGTTCTTGCACTTGTCGCTGTATTAGAGGCCTTGACGATGGGCCAGTTTGTTTTTAAGAGTTTGGGGACCACTTCCCGGTGGTCCCCAAACAGCTACACCCTGGATAAGGGGTACATGGTTCTTGTCCCTTCTAAAACACCCTTTTCTAGCCATTTATTAAAGGCATTAGGTGCATGTCACACTGTTGCTTCCACCCTTTCATGCGTTTCTTGCGTGTAAGGCTGCCTGCTGAGTCCTGGAAACCTAACTTAGGATGCCATGTGAATGCAGAACAGTGCTTGTTAATTAATCAGTATTGCATATCCCTTAGCTCAATGCTGGGTTCGTCAAGGTTGGACACCGGTGCCAACTAAAGAGCATGCATGACACGACTCTAATGCACAATAAAAATCTGGGTGGCGGATGCAAGTCACGGGATGCACGGTGATGCACATAGCCAAGGCACAACCCAACCACCACCCACGACCATCGAACCTCTATCCGCCCACTCAACCACAGGTGTTATCATAGCCCAGAATCCTCACCCTCGATGCACGGCTCCTTCAGTGCCTGCGCAGCTGCCGGCCCCAGGAGCTGCGCGCCCTGGTGCTCTAACATCCATGACTTGATGGTCATGGATGCACGCACCTGGGCGGCGCTCAACCGGTGACGCTGCCAGGACATAATGTTCCTCCCCTAACTGAATGCTCTCTCGCTAGCAGCGGATGTGGCTGGGATCAAGGTTAAAAAACGGTTGGTTTTTTAAGGATTCTCCCGTATGATATGGTTTATTACGATGCAGTCGTAAAATAAATAAAAGAAACCGGTCGAAATGGTGTTAAGTGCTTTGGTTAAAAAATACGGTCGTATTATTCGGTCTTATGTTTAAACCACAATTGAAATTGTCCAGAACAACTTCGAATCCAATTTTGTCGGTTGGGTGTACACAAACAACGAGAAATGACGAGAGTCAATGTTTTCCCGCAGCGCGCGTGCAACCCATTCCTGAGCCGCGCTTGTTCATTTAGCTGGGCCGTTACGAAATGAACGATCCTTTTGCCACAGCACGTTCAACTTCTTCGCACCCAGTAGGATGAGCTTGCGCATTCTGCGGCACACGTGTCAGTGGCGCGTTTCGTAAACCAACCCCCGACACGCGAAATGGGCATCCTTCCCAGAGTCCCTCCCAAAAGTTCCTCAACCCAACCTGCGACTGTTAGGTTACAAATACAGAGCATCAACAACAGACAGGTAGGAATTCATCTAGGAAGTTTGAATTACATCAGAATTTCGCGCTAAGCTCCGCGAATCTTGTTAGCAACCCTTCATGCCCGCGTTTTTCTCAACGAGCATACTGCCTTAGACAGCGCAACATCATTTTGACCAGCTGCAGGGTTCGTTTCCACTATGGGCAGAGCAATTTCTCCCGTTTGGCAACACGTGCGGAAGATTCATGGGCCGGACGGAAAATTCCTCCGCGTCGAGTGTCTTCATTGCAAATCGTCCTTGATGGCCAGCGCGACGAGGATCGGCGAGCACCTCTACGGTACGCCGATGTCAAAGCTGAAAAACGTCACGGAGTGTACCTCTGAATTTGCGAGGAATCTGCGCGAGAAAGGCGTCAGCGAGCGTGACTTCACGTCCTCGGCCTTTGTTCTGGCCTCAACATTGCCGCCAGAAGTGGAATGCCCTCTCTGCATTCGTCAGACTGGCATTCGGGACTTGACGGACCCCCGAGAGCGCGAGCAACTAGACCTCCTTTCCCCCGACGGCGGTGGCTAAAAATGACAGGGCTTTTTGGTGCTCCCAGTAAGTTTCTCGTCCCCCACATTCCCTCACCCGTTTCTACCCTGTTCCGACGACCTTGGATCAATGCCATAGTGGCCCCTAGCTGTTTTTATGCCCGCACTTAGCCGAACTCCATACCCCCTTACTCACAGGTCCAAGGCATTGCAGGACTTAGTGAACACTGCCATCGCCTATGGGAAGCAGTACACACTTCCCTCAGCGTACAAGGTTGGTGGCCCTCTGCTTGAAAAGCTGAGGGCCGATGTGGAGGACTTGGTCGAGCCATTGAAGAAAACTTGGCAGACAATGGGGTGCACGCTGTCCGTGGATGGCTGGACGTGTCTCAAGAGCAGAGGCCTGGTGTGCCTCATCGCTCAAAATGACACGACTCCAGTCATGGTAGAGGTTGTGGACTCCAAAAAAGCAAAGAAAACGGAACAGAGACTAGTGTAAATAGAGAGAAAATGTTTAACGTCCGACTACAAGGCATGACGACTCCCATGAAAATACCGAACTTCCAGTCGGAGCAGTTGACAGGATAGAACAATCACTGACCATCGCACTTCATTGAAAGAGGATCTGACCTAAACAACATCACAGAATGGGGTGAAAAGACAAACGTTGCACGGGAGAATGCGATTAGTAGCTGGCACAACATCTTCATTGGCGACACTTAGCGTTGCAGAACGTGTTTTCCTACAAAAACAAAACGGTAAAGGAGAGAATGGATGAGTCTGCAGAACACGAAATGGGCATGGCATAAGCTAACCAGCATGCGGAAATAGAGTAACAAGTAGGGAACATTGAGAAGGGATTGCGACTCTTGATTTGCGAAACTGAATAGCTGTATTAATTGAATAGCTGTACTAACTCAATGGCTGTACTAAGGCAGTTGAGCCTAGACACATCAATGGAACAGCTAGATGTGGAAAAAACAAACAGAGGACGAGGACTTGGAGGGGAGTAAAGAGCGTGGGAGCTCAGCATGGTGGGGTGGGATTACGTGGGTGAAACCCTAGGGCGTGGTCCTTGTATTTTTGTGTTCCACATGTAATCGGTATCCACTACGAGTTTTTGGGCTACAAAACATCTCGCGACATGTTTAGGCGTTAATTTTGCGTTGCTGTTGCGAAGGTTGTTTTATATAAAAAGTGACAGCGATATGAAACTTTTGAAAACGCGACCTAGAAAGAACTTCAAACAGTTACTTGGATGGGAGGGGGATTCGCTTCTCAGGGGGGCTGATTGGGATTGGTTGTTGGCTGGTGGTTTGAGATGAGGTTACGCGCAGCTGCTTGGCTGAGGTGGACAGCACTTCGAGGGGAGGTCTGGCACGGAATGATACATAAGGCTCAGTAAAAGGCTGCCGTGTGAAACTGCCTTGGGAGGAATGACGTGGCTTGGCTTGGACGGCTCACAGACCGCGCAGGTTTGGGTCGCACGACGAGACCTCGTTCCCAATTTGCAACACTAGGAGTTACGGCTTTGACATAAGCTACTACGTTACGATATATTTGACTGCAATCATATTTGCTTTTGATTTGTAATTGAGGACTATATCATTTTTCCAGATTAGAGATTACATTACGTTGTATGACGGTACTCAGTATTTGTATAAGTAAAATAACAACTTGGTTAATTTATATTGTTTAATTACTACACTTTTGTGTCGCAAAAATGTGTGTGCAATTTACAGTTCAGCCAAATAATAGTAGCTTCATTTTACAATTCAAAGAATATCACTGCACCATTTGTCGATTCCAGGATTCGAACCCGAGTCTTCACTGCACACTGAGTTATCTGGTATTGTATAGAAAATTGTGTCGAAAATGCTGTGCTGACAGGAATTGAACCCGCGTCTCCAACCTCATTCTATCCCAAAGGTCAGGGGTACTTTTCGGAAATCAGCAGGGTCATTTGTGGGACAGTTGGAAGAAAATTTGTCCCGCGAATGTTCCGAAGGTGTCTATCTGGTCGATCGTGGGTTAGTGGTCTGGGCGGGTCAGGTGGGGGACATCAACCTTTTGCTGATGAAGTGCTGCTTACAGTGCAGTGAGGGCAATCAAGTATCGGATCTCCCTAGGAATCTCCCCCGTTGCATTGGTCAAACCGCTGAGTTTCCTGCGCCCATGCACAAGAGACCAGCAACAACCAGAATGCCCCTTAGGCAACCAGCACAGTGACGGAAGGATGGCTGGCAAGGTAGGCCCAAGGGCCATGCAGGGCCGAGTCGGGCCGGACCCGGCCTGTCTGCATAGTAGGGGCCGAAGGCTAGCAACCCGTCAGGGCCGGCCCAAGCCTCACCAGACAGGCCTTTCTCGGCCTGGGTCGGGCCGGCCCTGGCCCCGCCCTTGCCCATGCCCGGCTGGCATAGTGGGTGAGTGGAGACGGCAATTGATGCAAATGCCACTTCTAGTGCGCTGCTGCGCTCACAGGTCTTGGAGGTCCGTGTGGCGAGACAGCGATCCTAGAAAGGGCAGCTCCCCCGTGACTTCCGCCAAGGTGATGAGTCGCCTGGGTTGGAGTGGGTAGGCGGTGAGGCAAGGGAGAGGCGATGCAATAGGAAAGGGTGGCCACAGATGTTAGCACATGCATGGCGTTGGTGCACGGATAGAGAATACACTGAGGCGTGGCCGTAGTGTGAGGCAGTAACAACAGCTTGAGTAACATTCCACACGAATAATATGGGGAATGCCATGCAAGGCGTACAGTGTGTGCAGAGCGTGCAGTGTGTGCAGGGCGTGCAGTGTGTGCAGAGCGTGTAGTGTGTGCAGAGCATGCAGTGTGTGCAGAGCGTGCAGTGTGTGCAGGGCGTGCAGTGTGTGCAGGGCGTGCAGTGTGTGCAGAGCGTGCAGTGTGTGCAGGGCGTGCAGTGTGTGCAGGGCGTGCAATGTATGCAGGGCATGCAGTGTGTGCAGGGCGTACAGTGTGTGCAGGTTGAAGAGGGAGGAGAGCATCGCAAAAAAGGTGTGCTCGCAAAACGATTGCGTAGCATTCGAGCGAATGCTTTGCAAACGTTTTGCGAACATGTGGGTGAAAATTCATGGCGGACTAAGATGAGAACACTTGGCGAATGCTTGGGCAACATTTCCCGAAACACTTTTTGGTTCACGACAGTGAATGCTTAGCGGTGTTTTTTCGGTGTACTCCGTGGTTCGTTTACAAATGCATGGCGGTGTTTTTAGGAAATGATATGCAGTGAGCTTGTGAATGCATATAGAAATATATGCTGACGATTTCTATTATTCAGTATGATTCGTTGCGAACGTCTGGCGGTGTTTTTTATGGATCCGTTTTTGCAGCATGCGGTTCCCATTACGGCATGGTTCAGTACAATTAGGGCTCGTCGTTTGGATTTAATTACTGTAAAAGCTGCTAATAATTTGTTTTATTAAAATAACATATACACCACAGTACACAACCACGATGGCCCAATCGCCCTTGCCTGCCAGCACCCCTTGGGTTCCCACCAATAACCAGCTTCCCAACAGCATACTAACCCCCATCTCCGTGGCAGCTGGTGATGCGACATTTCCGGTAGGGCCACTACTGTGCCTTCAACCCACGTGCCGCTAGGCCTGCCTACTCCTGCCGCTGTTGATTGCCCGCCATCTCCCATGATGGCTGCCCATGTCACCTACCGCTACTACACTGACACCCTGTCCGCTGCCTCCCATGTCTCTGCCTGTCCCTGCGTACTGCTCACGCGTTAGCCCATGGTGCTGCAAAGATCCAACGTAGAGGCCCGCCTGAACCTGCCCCCCTTAAAACCTTCAAGTACACAATTCCTGCCCTCTGCCCGTGAAGCCACCTGCACCTGCTATGGCCCAACCTTTCAATCTGCGTCACGTCCTGTTGCTGCTGCCCTCTCACCCAATCTGCCTTATGATGCTACTGTGCGACTTGACAACTGCTTCGGCTTCAAGAACTACCCCGGCCAGGACCCCTGGCCGCTGGCGGCCTTGCTGCTCTGATCCAGACCCACCTTCTCCGTGTCACCACCCCTCACCCCTTTGCCCCCTGCTCCTCCTCCTTACCCCTGGTCGTGGCCTTGCCATCCGCTTTCATGCCAGTCTTCCCTTTCCTGTCCTTCCACTCCTCCTCGAACCCACTCTCATGGATGTACAGGCCGTGCTCCCCCCACTTGAACCCCTTCATTTCCCTGTTGTACTCTCTTGGGTGCTCGTCAAACCACTGAATCACCACCTGGCGCACGAGCTTGCGAACGGCCTCGACCCATGCCTTGTTCTTGGGGTGGGAGTTGGATAGGGCCATTGTCTGCGTCTTGACGCGCGCCAGCCCGTAGTCGACCTGTCATGGCCGGGGGTTGGGAAAGGGAAAGGGGGGAGAGGGGGTTGGGGGAGGGGCCTATGTAGGGGGAAACAATGTGATCACAAGCGGCAAACGATCCATGAAGCACCCCATCAAGGCACATCCCACAGCCTGAACTCACCACCATGAGGATCCAGGCAACGTGGTACGCCTTCAAGCACAGCTTTGCGCCCTGTCGCCACTGCCCAAACCCCTCCACAGCCGCGTCGAAGAAGAGCAAGTTGGCGAAGGGCTGGCCGCTCTCCTCACCCTCAAGTGACTTGGCGTTGCCCCACGTGCTAACCACTTGGCCGAGCTCCTCATCTGGTGGGGTTACAAGAGGGTAGCATGCGCGGGAGTGGGGTTCGGGGCCGTCTCCAAGGGGCCATGCACACCATGGTTATAAGAGGCATGCATGGGCCGATACAGCAAGTCACGTCACTCACCTGGCCTCAAGGCCCTCCACAATTTCCTCTTCACCTTCAGGTCAAGGAGGATCTTGCAGGCGCGGGACCACTTCATCTTCACTCCCAGCGCGGTTAGTACGAGGCGCTTGATGGCAAAGGCGCGCTCGTTCTTCCAGACCGTCCATACGCGTTTGAACGGCTTGTTGTAGTTCTCATTGTTGAGTGACTCCAGGACCTCCACAAGAGTCACGTCGTAGCCCAGTGACACTAGGCCGCGATGAAGCACGCGGCAACGGGTCTTGTGGTTTTCGTAGAAATCGATGACCGCGTCCGGGTTGTGGATGCATATTTCGTCTCGCATTGCCTCATAGTGGATCTGTAATGGAGGGTGGGGAGGGCCAACAGGGAGAAGGGTGGGTGTGGGGTGGGGTACTAGAAAAGGGGGGTTTGGGACCGCGGTTGAATGTGGGGCTGGCGAACACGTGTGGCGGTGCCTGGGGTGTGGACGGACGGCTAGCAGGAGTCGGAACAAACAGTCACAGCCATGGGTTTAGGCATTGGGCTGGCGATGCAGCACCGGGCAGCAACCGAGACGTGGTGAGCGCTGAGGGATCTGGTGGCTTGGCGGGCGGGTACAGCGGCCGAGGAGGTGGGGCCGGGGGGGGGGGGGGGAGGGGAAAGGTGGAAACGGAATTTTAGGGTGGGCTGCCTGTGGGAGGGTGGGGTTGGGATCCAAGTGGGGGACCTGTCAAAAAATGAATAATGGCATCACACACGTGACTCACCGGGATGTTGCTCACGGAGGGCATGCCTCGACGCCTCGTCCGGGGGCGGTTCCCCCCCACGCTCTCTCCGACCGCCTCGTCGTGGTCACTAGACGCCGACGCCAAGCGGGGAAGGTGCTGCCCCCGCGCCCTCTTGAGCTGCAGAATCTCGATAGCCGCCTCGCGCAGAAGGCTGAACATGCGGGCGGCGGACAAGTCGCGCGGCATCTCCTCCATGCAGGCCAGGGACTCCCAGGTGTAACCTCGAGTGTTAATCTCACCCTCAAGCGTCCGTCTCCGTTTTGCCTCCACGTCGGCATGAACCCGCGCAGCGTCGTTCGCGGGTCGCTTAAGGCCAGCAGCATCCACTCCTTGGTCGGGGCCGCTCGCTCCACCCTCCCATCCACACTCGGCCGCTCGTCCATCTGATCGTCGCGACGGCATGCCCCATACCTGTGACGCATCCATGCCCCCGCCCCCCCCCGGCCGCTCGTTCGAAGCGCCTCGGGGGTGTAGGACAGCGGGGGGGAGCGGCGTGAACGGTGAGGCGCCGCCCAGGGTGTTTCCAACATCGCGTAATGTGGTCGGTGTGTTGCGGCCGTTGTCGAACTCCCTCATTCCGTCAGTGAGCCAAGGCCGCCACACGTGTGCAGGCGCTGCCTCTACGGATGTTTGCTCAAACCGCAACTCCCGCCCAGTGGCATAGCCGGACTTCTTTTCTCTTTCACCGCTGCCATCAGCCTCCACCGCAGCCTCCCTCTTCACACCCCTCCTGTCCAGCTCCCCGCATTCCTCTGCCGGCAACGCCTTGTCGGTTGCATACGCCGGAAACTTGGTGTCGCGGTAATCTGTCCGCCGAATGAGCACCGGACCTTCAGACGCAGAGCCGCTCTCGAAATCGTCGCTGCCAGCCGGGTACGGAGCATACCCATGCTTGGCGGGCCTAGCCCTAGGCCCTCCGTCCTCCCCTCCTCTCCCTTGCTTCCTCATGTCGCCACGTCCTTGCTTCCCTCTGCTCGCCCCTTTCTTCCTCTTGCCATTACTCCCCCTCCCCTTATCCTTCCCACCGTTGTGCCGTCCGACGCGCCTGTCCCTGCCGCGCTTTTTGCCGCGCTTGCGGTCGCCGTCAGACTCGCTCTCGAGGGACTCAGGCTCGCTGCTTTCAGTGCTCCGACCATCGTAGTTGGACTCTGACGCCGAGGACTCCCCCGAGTCAGAGTCGCTGGAAGAGGACGGCGAGTCTGATTCCTCGGGAGAGTCTTCGCGCTTTTTCCGTTTCGTCTCGCGGACGCGGCCTCTTTCGCGGCGTTCAGGTGATGGGGCAATGGCGTCGCTCTTCGCTCGACGGGTGTCTCCATCGCGACGCTCCCATTCGCCGTCCTTGTCCTTGTTTGACGGTTTCTCTGGGCTGGTCGTCGCGGCCACGGTCGCGCGGCCTTCCACACGAGCGGGAGTCTTCAAGACGGGGGCCGCAGCAGCGGCCTGCGAGGGCCTCGCGCGATCCGACTCCGCCACATTGTTTGCGACAGTTTCACCGTTAGGGGAATCATCGTGCGACGGCGGCATGGCGCTAGCAGGGGACTCCACGACGACCATCGCCACTTCCTCAACCGCCTGAGGCGCGTCTGCTGCGGTCGTGGGTGGACAATCGGCGTTCATTGCGGCGCTCATCACGACGCGGTTCCGCGTCGGTGCGGCAGCTGCGGGAATGGGAGCGGCGCTCGCGTCCGCCTTCGCCGGAGGGGTGCCGGCCTCTGGGGCTGCGACCACTTTTGCTGCCTTTGTATCCTCCTCTGCTAGCGCTGCATCCTCCTCTGCTACCGCCGCATCCCTGTCTGCTACCGCCGCATCCTTGTCTGCTACCGCCGCATCCTCCTCAGCTACCGCTGCATCCTCCTCTGCATCCGCTGCAGACCCCTCTACTGCTGCTGCAGTGGCCTTCGCTGCGTTTCTCTCGGCCTTTTCCCTTACGGCCCGTTCTTTTTTCGTCTCTGCCTTGGGCTTCTTGGGGGCGTGCGGCGGTCCATCATTCCCTGCATGGCGGCCCGGCAACGCGCAATGTCAGGGAATGTTAAATACGAAGGCACAAAAAAACCGCCACCTGGCGGGTGGAGCATGGAAGACAAGTAGCTCACCGGGGTGCCGACAAGATCACCTATCGGTTTCTTCCGCTGAGCCGACCTTTTCATTGGGCTACGAAGCCCGCCCGGCGCGAC